GAGGACGTCGGGCGCGAAGGTGACCCCTATGCAGTCGATTCCGAATCGTCTGGCCACTCACTCTCACACCACTGTCTGTTTGAAGACGAGCGCTGATCTGATTTGCTGTGATGACACGATTTCTCAAGGCCAAGGTACGGATAAATCGATCCTGGGCTTGAGTTGTCGCCCTTGGTCGACCTGAGCGTGGTCTGTCCTGTACAGATTGTGTATCACGGTATCTGGACCATAGCCTGCTTATGACAGACTGAGAAACATTCATCGTCCGCGCCACAACCGCCTGTGTTGTGCCGATCTGTAGCATGCCAAGGGCACGTAACCTTTCATTTTGGGTAAGCCGACGCATATCAAAATTTGTTTTCTGGTCACTAAAACAATTAAACTGATGTTTCCACCCTGGAATTCAATGCCACAATGACTGTAACATTCAAAGTCAGAGTCGTGCTAATCTTGGGTTGGACCCCCATGATGATCCCAAGCATCACCTGCATTCCATACGGTAGCTATTGGTGCGTTTGGGCGTCACATGTAACTGGAAATGCTTCTTCTGTTAGGTTCTATAGTGACTTTTTTCGTAGTCATTTGCATATTTTAGTATTATGCCCCCAAAATCAAATATCCCCTACTTTTTTTGAATAGTATATATTAAGTCGGGTGTGTCGCTGTTTTTTCATGTGTTTCAAGGTGTGCCGTTGGCACAAAACGGTTGAGAACCACTGCCGCAGACCATACTAGATTAAAGACAGTGGAGTTGGCTAATGTACGGCATACATTAAATAGTTTTATTGACAGGCGTATACAAGTAATTTCATCTCAAAGTCACCATGTCCGAATGGGCGAACATCAAGCCTCGGCTGTATGACAGTAAGTGATATGTACCTACGCCTATACAATTGCGATGCGGCACCGGTTTACTTATGCCCCCGTCAGACCGGGGTGGCGTCCTTACTGCGCCTCTGCGACCGTACGGCGACCAGAAAATGCACAAGGTCGCCGGCAAACGTGAACACAACGCGCGAAAATGTCCCCAAAAATTACAAACTTGAAAAAAAAGTCGTATTCTCATAGTTTTACAGTTTAGATCGCAGAACCTTGGCGTTTGCTTTGAACATGCTCAAAATAAACGCGGTGACTCGGCGATCATTGGCAACCATGGTGACTACAGCACGATAGCTGGCGTTTCCACTACGCTTATGGCGATCTTAACGCGCTCTAAAACCATTTTCCATCGCCGAAGCAGCGAAGTAAGGACGCTACCCCGGTCTGACGGGGGTATTATTAGGAAAACTTGCCGCTTTTAGAAAGAAGTTCTCAAAACTGCGTCGTTCGAAACGTATGTAGACTTTTCAGTTCAAACTGGTCCGTGTCTAAAGGAAATAGGATAAACTTGAAAGAAAAACAGCTTCAGACTTTGAAATCTTTGTATGGTAAAACATTCTTTAAATGCGTCGTCATGGGCAACGGCGTTGGTAATCCGGAACTTGAAAGTAGTCCCAATGGCGGACTTCGTCATACAGCTGAGGCTAGATGTAGGGTACTGGAATCTGCTGAGGTTTGGCCGAGTGGGCGCGAGATATGAATGGGGTCGGACTAACCCCGCTTTCCCCTACCTTATAAAAACATGGTAATGCACGGACTTTTTTTTCTGTTTTTCTTTGTGTTCTCTTATCCACTGGCAGTCAATTCTTTTTATAAATTGTTAGATATCCTCTCACAGTCTCACACAACAACTTTTAGTCTTCGAAGGAATTATTAATGAGCAGAAATTCGCCCATGTATCTGTTATCAGTCGGCACTTCAGCCAGTTATATAGAGGTATGTCTCGTGTTTTCCTTTGGCGTTCGTCACTTCCGATTCGCGAATCCTGTATTACTCAGCTATCGTAGCAATGATCTCTGAGTTAAAATTATATTTGGAACGTGTTGAATTAGTTCTATCACATATGTGATAATGACTGGCACCAATATTGTCCTTTAATCGATTTGTTTTACTGTAAATTCTAATCAGTTATGTTCTGCGAAATACGCGATGGGTACAAATTGAATGACACTCTTTTAGCGTTTGGTTATTCCGTCTACACCGGTGGTATTCCTCTGTGGGATATGTTTAGCTTCGTTCATCGAGTCGCTTCATTACAAATGGCGGCCGAAAGCATTCTAGCACGCGATTCGTGTGCCAATTTTAAAATGTTCATTTTGTCTTAAATATTGGACATCAGAAGCCCATGTTTGTTTTTACGGTAAGATCACAACATCAATGTTGATTTAAATTTACCAGTAAGTCGTGTTTACAAGAAGACTGTGGATGATATTGAGTTAAAGACTTAGCTCCTTTAATCTTTTTATTTTATTTTCATCTTGCTGTAGATTAAATATTATATTATACCCTCATTGTTTCATGTCATATCAACATCTCTCTGTTAAGCGATAGACTGTCGCCAAATTTCAACACTCGCGTCCTAATGAATACCCAAGCGGATAGATCTCCATTAGTTACTTTAGCAAGTTTAGTCCGTTAATTGATGTACAGCACGAATTTTTCGTTTACGGTAAAATTCCATTCCTAAATTTGGAATATTGACCGAGTGCAATTATGAACTGGTCCGCTCAGGTGCAAATTTTACAAAGGCGGATCAATTCAAACAAATGCTGTTTGAGTTTTTGTATCGCGCAATTCTACATGAAAATAGTGTTGTGTTGGATTATTCTAAATTTGTGTCGGATGTGACAAGAAATGATTCGCTTTGGCGATCAAAGAAGAATCACGGTGAAGAATAGACAGTGGGCCTGCTTGATTTGTCCGCCGATAGGCGAGCCGGTTTGTACAAGGCGTACGCCGGTCAGGTTACCGTATCAGTGCAAATCAAGTGACCCGGCTGATAATAAATTTGGCGTCGGATAATATTAAACCGGTAACATCACATGTTTTAATAACGATAGGCTGCCAGTCAACGAAACATACGCCCACAGCAGCTAAAGCGTCCGTGCAGTCAACAAGAGTTGTCGCATATTTTTACTTTTAATGAAACATTTATAATACAATAAAATCTGATTAAAAGTCACAACACATTAAGTAATTATCAAGTTCTGTCACATGCTAACGTTTAGAATACGAAACATTTAATATCATGGATTTAGCTGTTCAGTTATCAAAAGTCATTGAAAAATATACCTGTTCGTCTCAAGACCTTAAACTCTGTATCAATCTGAAGTCAATCGGATGATAAATTTGGCCATAACGCTGGCGGTAATTATCGCTGAAAATCAATAGGCTTCTTCGTCCCATGACCTTAAACACTGTATAAATTTAAAGTCAATCGGATGTTAGCTTTGGCCTCTAGAGCGTCCACAAGCAATTGTGGACATCGGACCGATGGATGGACGGACGGACGACAATATACGACCACATTTCAAGGTGGGCGTGTAAAAACAGTATTCATGAAAGCATTACCATAAGTACGTGACTGCAAAAAAATACAGAAAATTATTTGTAGCATTACCGAAAAAAATAAATAAATAAATGACATGTGAACATTTGGTTAATTCAACTTTAAAGCATTTGGTTTAATTTTAACGCTTTAATATTCGTGTTTAATGGCATTCCTAACTAACGTGAATTTTATCTCGTTGACATGTTCACCATCTTGCGCCGGTGATCGCCGCTGCCGACAGATAAGAAATCGTTACAAAAGTAACTAGATCTCGATTAGCTGACGGAGTAATAAAATATTGGTTCATGATTGAATAATTATCACAATTTAATTTAACATGTTCTATCCGTGATGTCGTTTAAACCGCTCACCCAGTTCCACGGTCTATTCATTTAGTATGTTCTATCCGTGATGTCGTTTAAACCACTCACTCAGTTCCACGGTCTATTTATTTGTACGCAAGTGTTAAAATTTGGCGACGTTCTCAAATATTACCTTGAATGCTTTGTTTCCAAACATAAAATTGTTGTGTCATATCAAAAGCAAAATCACACCCTACAAAACACGTACATGGGGAGGGGGCCATAGTTCATCCTTCAAACTGTTGAAGTTTACACCTTACACTTATTTGTATGGGAAGAGGTTCAAAGTTCAAATCATTGAGCTTTACACCCTACATATCGCGTGTATTGGGAGGGGATCATAGTTCATCCTTCAAACTGTTGAGGATTACACGCTACACATCACGTTTATGGGGAGGATGTCATAGTTCAAACTTCAAACTGTTGACGATTACACTCTACACATCACGTGTATGGGGAAAAGGGTCATAGTTCAAAGTTCAAACTGTTGAGGATTACACTCTACACATCACGTGCATGAGGAAAAGGGTCATAGTTCAAAGACATAACTCTGGCAGTCATAATTCTATTGTAGACGGAAAACATGAATTTCTCAAAGACCAATAAACAGTGGTATTGAGAAGATATGCTTGCATTCCTTGATAAATTCTTGGGGGGATTCTTGATTTTCTTCTCGGAAATTGTGCAGGTAGATGGTGAAGTTTGAATTTTAGAGCCAACTGCAGATTTCATCAAGGGCATGTGATTGCTGACGAGATTGTGAGCTAGGGTAGGATTAGCACTAGCCTGTTTACATCTCGTGGCCTTTGACCAAATCTGCAGTTGACCTTAATGTTTAGACCAAACCGCAGGCAGACCGGTTGACCCATTAAGACTGATGACTGGAAATCATCGTGTGATGAGACCCTAACATGATCAAAACACTAATTAGGGCCTAACATTCCACGAAAGTTCATCTGGATTTCTCAGGGTGGTTTCCCTTTGTTAGTGGTGCAGGACGGAGTATCCAAGTCGATAGGATTGTACAAAATACCATGGCTAGAACCCCTACTGTCTGTTAGTGATACAGGACGGAGTATCCAGTCGATATAATGGTACCAAATACCATGGTTAGAACCCCTTTTGTCTGGACAAAACTAATTTTACACTTCTTACCCACTGTTGATATACAAAACAAAGTCTTGTTGTTTTTTTTTTACATATTTTTGGTACAATATATTTTCTTTTCTTTTTTACATCAAATGATTTTATGTTTTTATATTTACACAATTTTATCACATATTTATCTGAACAACTGTGGGTTTTACAATAAAACAAAAACACACAGTAATATGGCTACATTACATCACTCAATCATACAAACCGTGGGGGGCACTCATACAAGTGCATGAAGGGGGAGGGGGTGCGGGGTCACTCATACGAGCTAAGAAGAAGAGAGCAATAGAACAGTAGATAGACAGGTAGACACACCTGTACAGATAGTCAGATTTAATATATTGTTATAATAATAATAATGATGTACATTTATATAGTGCTTAATCCATCCATGCTTTACTACTAGATAATCTACGAGTTGAGATTCAGTCAGATTACAGGTAGTGCTCGATTGTTTCTACCCAGGGGCGGATCCAGGAAGTTTTGCAGGAGGGGGTTTGCCAGGTTCCTGAGACAATGTATTCCCCCCCCCCCCTCCCGCATGGTCTCTATCGTCATTGTGGCGTATATACATACACATTGAGCTTTTTAAACAGAGAAATTCAAAACCTCGTTTGGCGTCAATTTTTATTATGAATTAATACAATGACATTGTGATTCAATTTCATGGATGCAAAGCATTAATTGTGATATCACATAATGTCTTTATCATTATCTCGTGCTTTGCGTGCCCATCCTGTCCCACATCTGACGATAAAGGATAAAGCACACGGTCTAGAAACTTCTCATAAAAAGGGTTGATTTACAAAAAAATTATGTAGCTGAGCAGGAGGGGGGGGGGGGTCACAACTCTCCCCACCCCCTCTGGATCCGCCCCGGCTACTATATCAAGCTGCAGGTGATGCTCGCTTGTTTCTACCATATCAAGATTACAGGTAGAGCTCGCTTGTTTTTACCATATCAAGATTACAGGTGTTGCCAGCTTGTTTCTATCATATCAAGATTACAGGTGGTGTTCGCTTGTTTCTACCATATCCAGTTTTTATCGTCTTTAGAACAATGACCAGTTCACTATATCTTTCTTATAATCAACGTCCTTATATTAAATAAACATCACTATCATCATCATCACTATCATCATCATCACTACCACCATTAGGAAATAGGTTGTTTTCTAGGAAATCTTGTCTTAGTTCATGATCCGTATTGAGAGTAAAATACTGGTAGTTATATTGACTATAATCATCATCTCTATCTTTATCTATATCATAACCATGATAATCATCATCATCATCAAAATCATTACAAACATCATCAATATTATCTATGTTGTAATCTTTAGGATGAAGAACATCTTTCAATAGAAGAAAGTCGTTTAATTCGCGAGGCAATTCCAGATCCTTAACCTTCTCCTTTATTCCCAATCCAAGATTCTGTCTGATGAATCTTCTGCACAGGGACTTGAGAGATATATTACTACAGAAACTAACGAATTCTGCTCTGTCTGGTGAGTGGAAAATGTCTGTTCGTTCATATCTTTTGTCTTCCTCGTCAAAATTTAACGAAGTCATAATTTCCTCCCCTTCGGCGCCACTAAGATACAACAGTTTTCTCAGCCTATCTCTTTCTTGAAGGTTTAACTCAGTAAGATCAATTTGGTTATAGCTACTTTCAAGTGATGATGGTACGAGAATCTGAAGACAGCAGTTTTCAGCAACTAAATATCTCATAAAACAAACAACATGGTATGGTTCCCAGAAAAAGGGAAAACACATGGTTGTTTGAATAATTGTGTTACCATCGATACAGGGTAAATTGAGAAGACCAGTGCTACCATTAGATAGAAGTAATTTAAAACAAGTCAAATCAAACACACTCTGATAAATATTAAGATATTGTAGAGCAGATCTTCCTGAATAGTCTAACATGGTAACTATGGCACCAGCTTGAAGTAGTTTCCTTGTAAGAACTCTGTCGTTTTTCATTGCAGCCATCATTAAACTAGTTCTACCTCCATTATCGGGAATATTTACATCAATTCCATCAACACCAAGCAAAATATCAATACAAGCCATGTATATTGGATATATCTGTCTACAATAATTCTTAACAACATCATTTACCTGTCTCTTGTTCAAGCCATCTTTAAACATAGTAAATCCAATGATACAAAGGTGTAGAGCTGTATGACCCTGGTTATTTTGTGTATTGATCTCTAGTCTGGGATGATGTGTCAACAATTCTAAATATTTACTGTTTAATAAAAAGGATGTTATCATAGTAGGTGTGTTGGTATTAAAACAGGGATGGTTGATGTCTAGTTCGTTATTTAACAGCCATTTAAACTTGCTTACAGAATAATCATAGTTTAAACGAGCTAAAAGATGAAGCATATTTTCTCCTTCAATTGTAAAACCATTAACAATCAACTTACGCCCGATGTAATAACTGAACACCCACAACCTCTTACATTTTAAAATATCATGGAATAACTTAACTCCGTTGTCACGTGACATCAGATCTGAACCTGAATTTACTAAAAGTTTAAAAACGGCTGTAGAATTGATCATGTGATATTGGACACTATAACTAATTGCTGTATCACCATTATAATCAGTTAAACTTAGATCAGAATGTGGAATTAACAGTTTTAATATACTGATATCAGCTTGGTATTTCATATAGCTCATTAAAGCCGTTCGTCCCAGTTTATTTTGATGGTTCACATTACAACCAGCTTTTAATAAAATGTTAACCAATTTAAAATACAGTGGACCACGACTGTCCTGTCCTGTCTTTAGTTTCGATTGTAATTCGATCCATTCAAGCCGTTTATCCGCGTAGATTCCAACGACATAGAACAACGGGGTATTACCATCATTGTCAGGTTGATTTATGTCTACTCCTGTTTTTATTAAAGTATTAACGACCTGTATACACTTCTCTTCAAATTTAACATGGGAATCCGAAAAAACTAAAACATGGTGAAGAATGTTGCGTTTTAAACAATCAACATAATGTACATCTACTCCGTGTTTTAACATATATATCACAACTTCATAAAACCCTCGTCTAGCAGCTATAAATATAGGTGTCAGTTTATCATCATTCTCCTGGTTGACATCTACACCAGCATCAATTGATTTAACTACACATTGTATTAACAAATCACGCCTAGCTGGCTTGTTATATCTATCATAGTTATTTAAAAGTTGACATATCAGGTTTTCCTTATATATATCAACATAATGTACATCTACTCCGTGTGTTAACAGATACATTACAACTTCATACAACCCTCGTTCAGCAGCTATAAATATAGGTGTCTCTTTATGTCTATTCTCCTGGTTGACATCTACACCAGCATCAACTAATCTAACTACACATTGTAATAACAAATCACGTCTATCGGGTTCGTCATCACTATCATATTTATATAAAAGATAATGTATCAGGTTGTTCTGATCGGCATTAATATAATGTGAATCAATACCGTGTTCTAACATATAAATTACAACTTCATACAACCCTCGTCTAGCACATGTAATTAAAGCTTGCTGCTTATCTTGTAATGATAATGTTTCTACGAATCCCTGTATATTTCCGTCTGTTTGAGCTTGAAGTAGTTTAATCCCCAACCTAAAATATATTAAACATATTGTTTTAGTTTTAAAGATGGTATAAATACAAAAACAATGTAAAAATTCAACGTATTCTGTCTTATTAATCACGAATTATTCAATACCTCTTTATTATAAAACAATTCTTATATTTGAAATATGTAATTGTCTAAATATACATGAATTATTTATACCGTTTAGTTAGAGTGTTATTATAATCTGTCCACTGGAGATGATTTAAACAGGATACCGTACCCCAGTTAACCCTGATGTTCACCGTATGTACAATAGGCTAGTGTATACAGTGACGGCGCCAGCCGTCGGTGATTGGAGGGGCAAAGCTGGGGCAAAGTCCAAGGTTAAGGGGGCAAAGGCACGAGCTTCAACTAGGGGTAGGGGGCCTCCCCCAGAAAATTTTGAAAAACAGGTTGCCGGAAATGCACCCTGGCAGTATTTCAGGCACTGATCGATGAGGTAAAGTGTCAAACGAACTGACTTGCGAATCACCAAAGCCCACTCACGAGCGTCAAAGTAGGGAGTCCTACCCCAGAAAATTTTGAAAAATAGACTGCCGGAAATGCTGTCTTACAGTATTCTGTCAGGCACCGATCGTCGAGATAAATAGATATGCCCAGATAATGTTCGTTGCCTGAGCACTAGTTTATCCGACTAGAGAACAAAATGTTAAACGAACGGACTTGCGAACCTCAACGAATTCCCCTTGTGAGCGCCGAAGTAGCGAGTCCATTGGGGACCTCGACTAGAAAATTTTGAAAAATAGACTGTCGGAAATGCTCTACAACATGCAAGTTTATGACTGAGTGGGGATGTGGGATTTATTCACCGTAGAAGGTATTGATTACCGAAACGTATCACAAATACTTTTTTTTATTTTCTAAAATTATTGGGGGGGGGGGCAAACAGAGGGCAAACCAGATTAATGGGGGGGCAAATGCCCCCCCCCCCTTGCCCCCCCCCCCCCCTGGCGCCGCCACTGAGTGTATATAATATATTAAATATACGAACCTATATTCATCCATCTTAATTCGCTGTTTGACTATATCCTGTAGCCGTTATTATGTCAACATCACTAAAAAAACATATAAATACAGACTATTAGTTATGTATATATACCTACTTCTGTACACCATACCATACTCGAGATATCTAATACTGGATTCTGTGTGATGGACAGATTCTACAGACATGAAACCATACCATTCTCGGGATATCTACGACTGGATTCTGTGTGATGGACAGATTCTACAGACATGAAACCATACCATTCTCGGGATATCTACGAACTGGTGTCTGTGTAGTGGACAATCATTTTCTAGCCAGTAAAGAACTTCAATTTATGTTAAGAGGGATCGCCTAAAACGACTGAATAATTTTATATTGTCGTCGCCCCTATCCTTCCGCACGTCTGAACGTCCGTCCATAATTTGTATGTGGGCACTATCCGATTTTGAGGAAACTTAAAACTCCCAAAAATTGCGGTTCCTGTCGATACTGTCATGTATCGGACCCCCACTTCATGGATTAGGGCCCCTGATTTTTAGCTTGTGGACACTCTAGAGTTCACTTGATGAAATATATATCTATAACCAAAGATCTCGGTTGATTCGATATTTGCACTAATCGGACTGTAACTTTTTGATTATGGCACCTGATTGTACGAAATAATGGACCCGCTAGAAGTCAGAATTTCAATCCGATTTTGTTGAAACTTAAGATGTAAGTTTATATCCCAAACATCTCGGTTCTTTTCGACATTCGCGCAAATTGGACTGTATTTTACTGGATTATATGTATAATACTATAGGGTCTATATACAGTAGCGTTTATTTAAGTTCTGTAAAATGTTTTTGTTAATGTATTTTAGCTAGTACCAGTGAGAACTAGGCAAGAATATGTCTGGTAGTTAAAAATCGGGCAATGGCATCATAGTCTGCTAAAATAAATATGGTAATCCCATGTGTTAGAAACGTGGTTAGCCGCCATCCTAGGTACCCATATAAGTACACTGTGTTTAAATCCAGGGTTGCGTCTGTGCATCTGACCAATCAGATAAAGGACGTACCTGGTCAATTTTCCGGGGCTTAGTACTGACTCATGCGCGTATCATCTTTATATGATGATACGAGTTTAATTTCAGTCCAGACATTATTCGGAGCTCAAGGGGAACATACCCATAGCCTCCTCGGCTTAGAGGCTTGGTCGAAGACATCATAGCGAGAACATCATGTAGAACTAACATTAGGTGTGTGGCTCTTGTCATGTTTCAGCCGTTATAGTCTGAGATAAAACAGATATTAAACTCAGACCGTCGATATTTTAATAACTCGAAAAGTACTATCATAGATATTTTAGTTTCCTTTATTTAACCTTTGTAGTTTGCTGTATTTGATATATAAATAGAGGAGCAACATAAACTGTGTTTTTAGAGTTATTGATCATTGGAAAAAGTTATCACAACGTGAAGTCAAAGAAAGTCCTAGACGATAGTGTCACCCTAGTGTCACGGGCCGTATCCACAATGTGGAAGGAATTCATAATTTATTTATTTAACGACACACAGTAGTGTCACAGTTTAGTCTTTTTGGTTCCGCGACACAGGATAGTGTTACATATGGTCCCTGATTGAACGAAAAATAAATCGTACATGTAACACTATTTTACTTTAGTCAAAATTTATTTACATCGGAAACAGGAACATAAATACACACGAACATAAATCAAACATCAACACGGTACATTACGCCCTTCTGTCTCGGCAGCGGCTGAACTCGGGTGAGCCCATTCGCTGGTCTCTGCTCCTCCCCGTTCGTCTCTCTTCTGCGTCTCTTTTACTGTAAGTAAACTGGTGGTTATATACCTTTCAAATGGGTCTACACACACGAAATCATTACTATATATGGTATTTACAAGTTATCAAATTTCGCTGACTGATAGTCGTTAATTAGTGCGTACGTGTTTAGAACAAAGTGTATAGTTGAAAAGCCAATATCATCTACATGTATTATCAAAACCAGCTGGGATCAATAAGTTCACTGCATCTAAATAATTGTTTGTATTTTATAAAATAGAAAATTAAGCACTTTGTCACATACATCCTAATGATCGTTGAGTTTGAATTTCGTGAAAATCTGACTGAAACTTCTCGATAAAATTGCCGCTCCTTGTACGCAAATGGCATTACATACTTTTACACTAAGATTGTGGATTCTCTAGAGGTCACAATTTTTATTCGATTTTGATGAAACTTAAAATACATGTTTATATCCCAAAGATCTCACTTCCTTTGGATATTCACACATTTTGGATCGTAACTTCTTGGATTATGGCCCCTGATTGTATGAAAAATCGATTAGCTTGTGGACCCTCGACTAGAGGTCACAATTTTTATCGATTTTAAAAACCGTTCAAATATATCACCTTTACATCATTGTTGAAATGATTTCCATGTTAATGTTTTTGTTATCACAGGCTAAAATTTACATGAATATATTAAATGATTCCCTCAATTCCTATAATTCTTTTGTAGAATTCCTTAGAACCTTTTTTTTAAGTTGTCCTGAAAACTTAGTAGATTTTGTAAGACTTACTGACATTAGCAGCATTAATCGTAAGTAGATTTAGAGAATCATTTGTAGATCTTATTTTCATTTAGTTTTTATCGTAAACAATGATAATTAATAAATGGGTTGTAGTTTGTTGCTCTAATTGCCCATCACATGTGGTACCTTGTGCGAGGTCCAGCTTACTTAAATTTATTCAAGGGAGACAACTACAGTTAAAGTCATTACGTAAAAAATCGAAACTAGTGGAAGGAACAGTTGAATATGCTGTGTTATAATTATATGGTACATGTTTGAATTGTTAGATAATATGAATAACTAATGTATGAATAGTTAGTTAATATGTTGTTATTTCTTTATGGTAGTGAATCACAGTTTATTTGAATCGCAGTTTACCAGTTACCAGATTTCATAGTTGTAGAATATGGTCATCAGTTACAAAAGGTTTGCCCCCCCCCCCCTCCAAATTGGTAGCAGGTGTCCGTACGAGTAAAAATCAATTGGTCAGATCGGGCAATACTGGAGCGTATAGCAACACACCTTAAAGTAGCCCCCAGGGGTGCTTAAAACTGAGCTTCTCCTTATTGGACCTGATCACAGACTTAATACCTGCATTGTGAAATCTCTCAATAGGCAATTCAGATATTCCGATATCAAATGTTGTGAAAAATCTTGGTGTGTCCTTAGATTCAACACTCATATAAACAATATCTGCAAAATTTACCATTTTCATCTTCGAAGAATAGGATCAATCCGTCATCTGATACCCGAAGGTGCAGCCGCTGCACTGGCTCGATCATTCGTGCTGTCCAGAATTGACTACTGCAATGCCGTACTTTCTGGAATAAATGATGAACAAATTTCCAAGTTGCAAGGATCCAAAATCGTGCTGCACGAATTGTGATTTAAGCTAGATCAAAATCACACATCACTCCCATCTTAAATAATCTTCATTGGCTCCAAGTGCACGAGAGGATTAACTTTAAAATTTTAACTCTGACATAAAAAAAAACATTAAATAAAACAGCACCAAGATATCTTCAGAATCTCTTGACACACTACCAACGAAACAGGTCACTGAGATCCCAGAATAAATTATTGTTAGATGTACCGGTTTATAAGATGAATAAATTTGGTTCAAGGACCTTTCAGTATAATGCATCAATTCTATGGAATTCACTGCCACCTTCCATTCGAACATGTGAAACATTGTCTGTCTTCAAATCAAGTGTGAAAACCTGGCTGTTTAGGCACTATAGTTGACCCATGTGAACACTTTCATGGTCCTAGAGCATTCCCAAGTGGGATGAATTGTTGCAAAATATAAATTTTGTTATTATTAATAATTATTATTAAAATTTAAACGGCGCGAGTAAGCGCGAGGGGCGTTAGCCCCGAAGTTTTTCTTTGTATTTACATAATGGACAGTCTGAGGCTATTATCAAACTTAAAACATAGCACCATAGAGATACAAATAACGGATAGTTTTCTAAAAGAGTAAGCCACAAAATAATGGATATATTCTTAAAACAACATGCACATGACAAATCACTCCAGTCATATAATGCAAGCATACACAGATAGTCCAAAATATTCATTTAGCAAGATATCTTTAAGTGGAGACGACATGTTTATAACACAGCCGAAAACAAATATTAATGATGAGAATATTTGTGATAAGAATTTGGATACTGATAACATTTGGTGATGTACTCGATAAAGGGTAATAGCCACAAAAATTGTGATGTTCTTGATATTGGGGATAACGGACGTCAAAGCTGTGATGGAAAGGCTGCTCACGAAAATGATTTAGGTATTGATAATATTCTTAGTACTGTGGTTAATGTGGAGGGTATTAGCCGTCCAAATATTGATTTAAAATTAAATATATACTCTGATATAAGTGACAGTGAAATAGGATCAAAGCGACAAACCAATTCACGAATTTCAAAGTCAACCGTTATTATGGTGTAAAGGTGATATATTTGAACGGTTTTTAAAATCGGATAGAAATGGTGACCTGTACAGTTTCCACAGGCTACACTGAAAAAACACTTGTGTTGGATCTCAACACAAGTACTTGTGTTAAAACTAATCTACACAAGTTATGTGTTGTTTTGCATTGTATTAACACAAACTTGTGTCGATTTATAAAATCTTGTGTTTTTTTCATATCATTAACACAAGTAATGTGTACCTTCCAAGATTTGTTTTCTTTTTTAAAAAAAAACTCCATACAAAGTCTGAATTCGGGAGTCGTCAAGTTTTAAGAAAAGTAATAAAGGGCTTAATTCACATCTCGAAAATCACATGCTGTTCTTCACTGGAAGGGTGTGAGTACCAATTAATCAGACAATTGCCAGACAGACTTGAATGTTAATTGATGTTAAGTTGTCTGTAAAGTTAAAATGTCTGTCTTTTTTTATTGACCCAATAAACTGATAGATCAAATGAATATATAGTGTACATGTGATTTTCAGCACCCTGGTGTTTTCGAAAATTGATTCAATGTACAATGAACAAAAAAAATGAGTAAAACTCTTAATAATGTAATTGGTTGATGTAATCGAAATTGGACAGTATTGGTTAACTGTAAAGTAACCAATCAAATTTAATTGACCATCCACGTGTATCTCATAATCGACTTATTGATATAATGGTTCTCCAAGTTATCTATACTTTTTGTCTGCGATATCACTTCGGTGGAAGCGGACGTAAAATACAACTAACTAAGAAGAAGTATCTATACTTTAGTCATTGCGACAAATTCTTTCTTTGATATTATATCAGCGACATTCAGTTAGATAGATGTAGTGAAGTTAGCATCAACAGGGTGCTTTAGCCGTGATATTTTAAAAAAAATTATAATGGTCACATAGAATACCAGACCGCAGGTTTGTAAATTTTTACAAAAAATAAAACCGTGTATTTAATTTAGCATGTATATATTGCTTCTATGTATATAATAATTCGTTTCGTTTAAAACATTCAGATTTAGATCTACTGCCACTAACTGCACCGGAAGTCTATTTAAAAAATGGCGCCACAAAGAAAATTTTTTTGATGTGTTCTAAAAGTGTTCCGCTAATTCAGCGATCTAATGAATCTGTCTTAATTTTTCTGAAATCGTGCTTAATTATTATTAGCTAATCGGCGCTACACCGTTGTTCAAATACTTATAATTCCTTGAAACCCCCGACTAGGACCAGCAGGTAATTGTTGTTGTTGTTGTTGAGTTAGTTGTATTTTACGTCCGCTTCCACCGAGGTGATATCGCAGACAAGCCAGCAGGTAAGAATCTGTCTTTATTTTATAGTAATACCCGGTTGCAATTATTGGCCGCCATCTTTGATTTTTATAGACGTTCGGGCAAAAGGAGAAATGTATATCCAGACATGGACTATAGCTAGATACTAACTTTTGTGTTAGTTGTTTAGTTGAAATGTAATCTTATTTCTGTAAAAGAAAAAAACAACAACAAACAAATCAGCCTTTTTTTTTATATCAATGTCATCAATGTGTAGGCCTAATATTAGACTTTCAATGATTCAGAAGTTTCTCTACAGTTTCGTTATTTTTTTTTCCAGTCATTGATGTTAGCATGTACTACACAAAGAAAAACAGGTAACAGAATTTCATTTCCTTTTAATATATTTTTTTAATAATGGCCAATAATTGTTATTGTATGTAACACGAAAAGTATTTATCTCTGTAGAGAGAGGGCGAGTAAATGGGGTTTAAAGTTCACTAAATTCACTTGACACAAACTATGCCATTCATTTCCTTGTATTAAATTGGTCGAATCAAGTAGGTCCATGCTATATATATGTCCTAAAATCAAGTAGGACAGGTAGTCTTCTTCCGCCCTTTTTCTGAACACTGTCTCATTCTATTGCCATCTGTGTATGTTGTGTTATATTAATTCTGCATAATTAACTCTAGTTAACCTAGTTAACTCTATAATAATAAATGAATTTAATATATAAATAAATAAAGAAAATATAAATAAACCAATAATATATTTGTAGTTTAATATGTTTTATCTTATCATTACAGGCAAAGCATGAAGCCAAAGAAAATGTTTTTACCAAGGCATGTTCCTCAATAGCGGAGAGAGTTTTATCCAGTGTCGGTTCTGCAGAAGAACCCATTCATAGCAGACCACCCATTGCAGCACTTGTAAGGTCGCTATAAAGAACCCGACAGACTCTGCGACCAAAAGATCCCACTGACGTGTCGTCAAGCGTAAGTACTCATGCAATTAAATACCCATGTATATAAGAATTTATTAACATGTAATTAAATGTACAATTTTATTTATTTATTAACATGTACTTAAATGTACTTTTTTATTTATTTTTTGTTTTAGCTTGACGAAGATTTCATCGATCATAGTGCACCGGGATTTTATCAAAAAAGTATAACATAGTTTGAGTTAATAGAAATAAAACATGATCTGGATGCAACATTTTATTCTAGCATACTAGATATACTATAAAGTCGTACCTGGTCAGCCGCCAAAGCTGGTCTGATTTACATGAAAAACCAAAGCCAATTTATACTAAATTCACTTTGATAACACGGGTAATTAATAATATGGAACAAAAGGACTTATGTAAAGACTACATAATTAAATCATTTGTCATTGATAGATTATCTCACTATAAGCATATGGCAGGCTTCAGAACAATTGATGTGTGACAGCTAACGCTAGTAAACGTCATTAGTGATCAGCGGATTATCTAACTTGACCATTATACATATGGCAGCATCTGGTTCTTTATTAAATGAACAATAGTGTGGTCAATTAGAGAACAGTGGAGAGTTTATTACACATGCGGTCATAGGATAATTATAATCTTTTACCTATCACTGTCTCTCACACTATGTAACAAAAGAGTAAAAGTTGGGGAAAGGCGCCATCACATTTTTTGTACTGATAGACAGATGCAACTACTCGCACGTGCAAAAACTTGGTATATGGATGCAACTTTTCGGGTGGTGAACAAGCCATGGTCTCAGCTGTTTTCCATACACGCCTTCATTAAGACTGGAGAGACCACCCGACAGTTACCATTGGTGTTTTGTGTAATGTCGGGTAAAAGCCAAGACGACTATTATAAGGTAAATAGCACTTACTGATTGAATAACTATTAATAGTAAAAAAGGACTATTATTTGGGACCTTGAAATTGTCACAAATGGGTCGCACTAACAGCGACATTTGTTTCAGGCATATTTGTTTCATCGGTGACACGTCTGGTGTCATGTGAATGCAACGACAACAGCCTGGTTGATTGATTTGTTGATTGGAGTTCAGATGTCTACATTAAAATCGACCACTTTCAGGTTGCCGTATTCACGGCCAGGCAAGACCGACTTGAAATTTCTGGAAATTTTTCTGGGGGAGACAGGCCCCAACAAATCCCCCGACGGTGCGTTTCACGACTTTGGCGCAAGACGGTGACCTTGAAGAGACGTCGAAAACCATTTAATAGACATAGTAAAAGTCATATCTTACGAGATTATCGCTGGTCTTGTCAGAAAATGCTATTTTATATATGACCAGTTTGTGTTTAAAAAATAAAATTATTTATTCTCCCACCATTAAAGCACACTAATTACGAAATATCGCTCTCAGAAACTTCATGGTTTCTTTTGCAATTTGTTTGGGGTAAGACGTTATATAAATAATATCAATCTGTCTACCACACAAATTTAACAGATACAAATGCATGTTATTCCACAGGTAGACAGACAGGGCCTCCTTTGAAGGGACTCAGTGAAGGGAACGCGGTTGGTTTAGAGTTTGTCTGACCCCTTTGAATATTTGCGTCTCATCTCCAATGAAAACAATCATGTTGCTCTCATGCTGTTCTCAACCAGAATCAAACATATATCGTACCTGAGATTTGTTAGCATGTTCCACACAACCCAACATTTATCGGCACCGGGATTAAGGGTGTATATCTTTGTTTCTAACGCTTATTGGGAATACGCCACGGAAACTACAATAAAAAATTATTTACAAAAACATTCTAAAGAGGGAAAACTGACATATTTCAAGCTTTACTGTATTTAAAGAAATAATTTAAATCAGCCGGCTGAAACCCCGTCTCCGCTATTTGTTAAGTCATTCTATAGGTATAGTGCCAGTTTCCACCGACAATGATATTGCAAACAAGTGTCCAATCTATAAAAGCATACATTCCTACAAAATGTTTCTTTAGTCAAGTGAAACAATAAATTCATAACTATGCGAGGGTGTGGTGAGTAAATTCGTGGTAACAAGTGTGAATAGGCTAATGTGACATAGAACAAGGTCACATTGATGTTGACAAATACGTAAGACGATATGAACATCAACTAAAAAGATATGTAATGTGATTCAGCTGCAAGGTGATATATGCATATATGCAGCATAGATAATTAAAACTTCTATTCAAGTTAAACCAACTGTATCTATTTATTTAAGTCTTACGTCGAGCTGAATACATTTTATGATTTATTTTCATCTATTGGTGGTTAACAGTGTGTAACTAAAAACTAAAATTGGATCTTATTATTGCCAATGATATAATGTACATGTAATAGCAAGTGTATATATATTTTTTGTTCAGTCTGTACACAGTAACATATCTGAGAACCATATTATTATCATTTCTGCCCAAGGCTCCCTGTGCCTTATAGTTAGCAGTGATACAAGGCAATTACCAATTTTCCATGTTCTTGGCCTGAAGAAATAAAATAATAAAAGTCAAGTTTTTATTATTATGGAAGTGGAAAAATACACTTATTCATAGTATGATTTGAATAAATACAACTGATTTGAAGTTGGAATTATTATTTGTCTAAGATGACTGGGCATTTACAAATTGAAATAGCTACTCTTCATCAAGAAAATACATGAATATTTTTCCCAATTCACCTGGATTTTATTTTAGGTCTTTGTACGTGAAATAGGTTTATTTAACGTCCGCTACCACCGACGTGATATTGCAGAAAATTAACAAATTCGGATTCCCTTTTAAAGGAAATTGACTGCACTATCGCTGGATTTTATTATATAGGTCATGTCAGTTTTTTTTCAAAATGGCGCCCAGAACACAAAACAAACATTGCAATTCAGGGCTGACTGGTGTCGAGGCTGTATCCTAAGAATGATTTTTTGAATATTTAATCACACAGAAACACAAGTATGCACATGCAGTTATGATATAATATTAAATTAGCTTACCTCAAATACCTCGAAATATACTGTTTGGTCAGTTTGTCCGCCCGCCATATTTCTATTAGTCACACATCCTTCGGCCAATTAAAATGGACGTATATTTTGTTTTAACCGAAACGAAAAATTTGCGTTATAAATAGTAAACGAGCTTGATTGACCGACCACTGCTAATGTTTTTTCGTGAAACGGTATAACTGCAATCAACACACGGCCGCCATTCTCGATGATTGACAACTCACGTTTTTCCTCATCCACCAAAGAACCGTTAGGTTTCTTTGAACATACTGCACTAACATCGGGATTATCAGTTAATCAGCTTTAATTATCCCGCTTTGATCGTTGCCATTTCTTATATTTTCCACAAAAAAACTTTGCCTTGTACGCACTAATTTATCAATTGGTATTGCCATCTACGACAAGCATGTCAACGTGCAGCTCACGGATTATCGTTAACAATTTCTAGGGGCTTGTAAAAAAAGATTGCATGTCGTGTAAATATTTATTTTGTTTTTTGTGTAGGTCATTTTCAAATAAATTCATCAGCATATTATTCGTTTTAAATAAATATAAAACTTTTATGAGAAACGATGATTATCAAAGAACCATAAGTGCAACTAATGTTTTATCGTTTGGTTGAGCCTTTTACTAACCACGTGTTTCATGTTAATAAATATTTTCTTTCGTGTTTTGTTTGAATTGGCCTATTTCTAATAAATTATCCCGAGTCCCAAACGTCGTTAACCCGAGTCCCAAACGACGTATACCAAAGTCCCAAACGTCGTATACCGGAGTCCCAAATGTCGTGGTCATATTTTTTTGAGTCCCAAATGACGCGAGTCCCAAATGACGTGAGTCCCAAATGACATGTAATCAACCTAGAGTTGTTAGTGTTTGTCGGATAGATCCTTTATACTTACTGGCGCTAGGTAATTTCGAGGCTAATATTGTTCAATTTTATTTGAATGATTTGCTTGCGCGTACCGTAGGAGTGTATTAGAAACTGTGTTTGCGCAGGTTCGAGAACGGCTGAAGAACATGAAAACACTTTCATGAGTCTCGAACATGAGAGAACGGTATCCATGGTAACAAGATGAATTAATTTTATACAATCTGTTACGATAACTTGTTTAGTATTTACTTCGCTATTAAGCATAATTTTGATAAATTATGACACCGTTTTACTCCTTTTCAATTCTTTGGATGACGATTACATCACCTTTTGATACGCCCTCGTCCGTAGGTTTGTCCGTCGTCTACAGAACTGATTATTTTGAAATTGATATGTTGTTTATTTTAATGAGATGAATCCTATTTAATTTCAATAATTTCTGTTAGTTTCTTCTGGAGTTATGGCCCTTGTTTCACTTTGTGAAATTCATTTGAATCTTTTAAATTAGTGAAACGAAGACGTCTATTAAATTACTGCGATTTCTGTGAATTATGTCTAGAGTTGTGGCCCTTGTTTCACTTTTTCGAACCTTGTGAACGCACGAACAACAAAATTATCATCCGATTTGTATGAAAATTGTATGCATTATTTAAATTAGTAAAACACAAAACAAAAAAATCTGTCAAATTTCAACAATTAAGGCCCTTGTTTCAGTGTGTAGAACCTTTGTAAACCCACAAACGACGAAAATTATAATCTTGTATGAAATTTTCTTGTAAATGCCCACATTACCTACAAAAGAATGAATATGTGACAATCCCTGTTGACTGCCCAAACGATTAAACTGCTGTGGGCATATGTTTCGTTGCCTGGCAACCTAACTTACTTGATGTTATACTGGCCACATACTACATCCAATTTTCGAACGGTATTAAACTTCTAAATTAATAAATGCACCCATGATGCTGTTTTCTCAGCAGTTATCGATGCGTCGACCATGTTTGTTCTCCCTCACTATGAGGTAGTGTGGGATTTGAGAACGGGAATGTGTTCGTGAACGCATTCCAGACTGCTCAAGTCCGACAAGAACCCATTCTCCGTCCGTTCTCTGCACCGGAACACTGTTTCGAATACACCCTAGGGGTATTTAGCAAAGGGAGGAAACCGGAGGACCCGGAGAAAACCCACAAGGCTGGACAGGCGACCCTATTCCTAGTCACATTCAAGTGGGGAATCACATAATAATGGCCTATTTCAAATAAGATATTTGCATATAAAGAAAGTAGGCTTACAGCCTCTTTCAAATGTGATATTTGCATATAAAGAAAGTACAAACTTAAATCGTCAGTGCTGGATAAACTAGCCAAAGGATTTGGCTGAATCAATTGGCGCTAAACTTCACCTAGTTTATCCACTGACATACGCCCGAATCAAACATGTTTGATATATTTGGCCGAATTGTATTTGAGTGGTGTGTCCGCTTCGCCGAAGCATTCGTCTGATTTTAGAATTCATTAGCCAATCACCACTCATTCATATCGAGTGGGTATCGCAAACTAGCAGTCGAACTGTGACACGGGTGCTACAGCCAACAAATTCCAACTACCATACTATCGGCTTAAATGCACGCCAATGGGACCTCAGGTTTTGTGTTCCATTGAAACGACTAGAAATGAAATGAAATGGGGTTTAACGTCCTACTGTTTTGCTCCGAACTGGGCTAATGAAGACAGGCATGCACCACACAGTGTGCTATATGAGGGAAATTTTGCCCGGACAGCGGCACTGCGGTGTATCGAATTCCAACTGTCAAGGGATCTTTTACGTGCACGCCAACGTGTACACGGGACCTCGTTTTTTCATTTCATCCGAATGACTAGACAGCTGTCCTTGTCAGGCCCTCCGTCCTGCATCACTGACAAGGGGGAACCACGCCGGGAAATCTGGGTGAACTTTCTCGGCCAATGCAGGGATCGAACACCCGACCTCCAGGCTAGCGAGCCAGCGTCTTACCCACCATGACGACTAGGCATGGAATCCATGCTGAAAAATCCAAATGAGCTTTCTCGGTCAACACTGGGAGCGAACCCGCAACCTCCCGGGTACCAAGCCAGTGCCTTACACACTAAGCCACATGACTCTCTTCTAATTACTGTGACAGTCCAGTCACATGACAAACAAGGGTTATTAAAACAGATTTTCAAGGCGTGGGTAAGACCTTCGGGATTCAAATGGTTTTAGATATCACACAGTTTGTATATGGTAAGGTATCTTAAACAGTTTATTACATGTCACATATTCATATTTTTCAGTTTCCATATTAGATGCCATAGCAAATCAAAGATCATATAATAAAATAAGTCAAAAAACCCAAATATGGAAAAAGAAAGTGCTGAAGAAATGGTGATTTGAGCACCTATGCTTTCTCATAGGTGTTTTTGGAGGGTGAGTGTTCAATTCTAATAGAAAAGATTGTTGTTATGGTATTTTAGAATCTCACCATAATGTGTTTGGCACAATATATCCCGGTTGGAGCTGATGTGACATAAACCTCCATTTCATTTTATTGTTTTGAAATTTAAAATTCAGTTTAGTATAGTAAATTTGTACACGTACATGTATGTGCACAAACAGAATCTTACTTATGTCCAGATACATGTAGATATGACTGTCTCATCTGTGGGGGACCACGGTGGCCAAGTGGGTTAGACACTGGCTCGCATATTTTAAGGTCGCGGGTTTGCAGTAAGACATTGCAGTACGGAGGACTGGGCTAATGAAGTTGGGCATATGCCATACAGTGTGCTACGAGATAAATTTTGCCGGGTACCGTGATCTTAAGGCCTTCTCTGGTATCAAATTCTAACTGCCAGGGGATCTTTTACATGCACACCAATGTGTACACGGGACCACGTTTTTTTGTTCAATCTGAATGACTAGACAGCTGTCCTTGTCAGGTCCTCCGTCCTGCATCACTAACAAGAGGAAACCACGCCGGAAAATCTGGGTGAACTTTCTCGGCCAATGCAGGGATCGAACACCCGACCTCCAGGCTAGCGAGCCAGCGTCTTACCCACTTAGCTACTATGACGACTAGACAGGGAATCCATGCTGAAAAATCCAAATGAGCTTTCTCGGTCAACACTGGGAGCGAACCCGCAACCTCCCGGGTACCAAGCCAGTGCCTTACACACTAAGCCACATGACTCTCTTCTAATTACTGTGACAGTCCACTCACATGACAAACAAGGGTTATTAAAACAGATTTTCAAGGCGTGGGTAAGACCTTCGGGATTCAAATGGTTTTAGATATCACACAGTTTGTATATGGTAAGGTATCTTAAACAGTTTATTACATGTCACATATTCATATTTTTCAGTTTCCATATTAGATGCCATAGCAAATCAAAGATCATATAATAAAATAAGTCAAAAAACCCAAATATGGAAAAAGAAAGAGCTGAAGAAATGGTGATTTGAGCACCTATGCTTTCTCATAGGTGTTTTTGGAGGGTGAGTGTTCAATTCTAATAGAAAAGATTGTTGTTATGGTATTTTAGAATCTCACCATAATGTGTTTGGCACAATATATCCCGGTTGGAGCTGATGTGACATAAACCTCCATTTCATTTTATTGTTTTGAAATTTAAAATTCAGTTTAGTATAGTAAATTTGTACACGTACATGTATGTGCACAAACAGAATCTTACTTATGTCCACGGTGGCCAAGTGGGTTAGACACTGGCTCGCATATTTTAAGGTCGCGGGTTTGCAGTAAGACATTGCAGTACGGAGGACTGGGCTAATGAAGTTGGGCATATGCCATACAGTGTGCTACGAGAGAAATTTTGCCGGGTACCGTGACCTTAAGGCCTTCTTATGTATCAAATTCTAACTGCCAGGGGATCTTTTACATGCACACCAATGTGTACACGGGACCACGTTTTTTTGTTCAATCTGAATGACCAGACAGCTGTCCTTGTCAGGCCCTCCGTCCTTCATCACTAACAAGAGGGAACCACGCCGGAAAATCTGGGTTAACTTTCTCGGCCAATGCAGGGATCGAACACCCGACCTCCAGGCTAGCGAGCCAGCGTCTTACCCACTTAGCCACCATGACGACTAGACAGGGAATCCATGCTGAAAAATCCAAATGAGCTTTCTCGGTCAACACTGGGAGCGAACCCGCAACCTCCCGGGTAGCAAGCCAGTGCCTTACACACTAAGCCACATGGCTCTCTTTTAATTACTGTGACTCTCCAGTCACATGACAAACAAGGGTTATTAAAACAGATTTTCACGGTTTAGGTAAGATCTTCGGGATTAAAATGGTTTTAGATATCACACAGTTTGTATATGGTAAGGTATCTTAAACAGTTATATGTCACATATTCATATTTTTCAGTTTCCATATTAGATGCCATAGCAAATCAAAGATCATATAATAAAATAAGTCAAAAAACCCAAATATGGGAAAAGAAAGAGCTGAAGAAATGGTGATTTGAGCACCTATGATTTCTCATAGGTGTTTTTGGAGGGTGAGTGTTCAATTCTAATAGAAAAGATTGTTGTTGTGGTATTTTAGAATCTCACCATAATGTGTTTGGCACAATATAGCCCGGTTGGAGCTGATGTGACATAAACCTCGATTTCATTTTAATATTTTGAAATTTAAAATTCAGTTTAGTATAGTAAAACTGTACACGTACATGTATGTGCACAGACAGAATCTTACTTATGTCCAGATACATGTAGATGTGACTATCTCATCTGTGGGGACCCATGGTGACCAAGTGGGTTAGACACTGGTTTGCATATTTTAAGGTCGCGGGTTTGCAGTAAGACGATGCAGTACGGGGGGCCTTACAAGGACAGCTGTCTAGTCGTTCAGATTGAACAAAAAAACGTGGTCCCGTGTACACATTGGCGTGCATGTAAAAGAGCCCCTGGCAGTTAGAATTTGATACAAGAGTAGGCCTTAGGGTCACGGTACCCGGCAAAATTTCTCTCGTGGCACACTGTATGGCATATGCCCAGCCTCATTAGCCCAGTCGAAGCTGAACAGCAGGACGCCAAACCCCATTTCATTTCATTTTTTTCATTTTGTCTCATCTGTGACAAAGCAAACCAACACATTACAATACAATTTAATTAAATTTAAAACTTTCGTCTATTTAAATATTGAATCGATTTAAGTCAACTAAAACATAGTATGTTTTTTTTCTCAGTTAACTACATCAGAAAGATGAAGACAGTTGGAAATGGCTATTCATATTATGGAAACTTTTTCTCACAGAGCTTGATAATCAGGTAAAATGTAAGTAACATACATATTTGTATTTTTAATCATCAACTAGTTCTATACACTTGATTAGTAATCTAGTTATTCTTCTTGGGGCAATGCCTAGGACTCTCCTATTCAAGTCTTGGCATTCTTGATTTTTGACAATCACATCCATTGATTTTCTTCAAGTTGTGATAGACCCTATGTGTATTTTTACAGTAAGTAGCAGTATAAAAATGGACAATATTTTACTTTTCAAATAGATTTTAATAGGTAATATCCAATTTGTTGTCGATGGAGACTCAGTCTCGATGTGGCAAAATAAATTGTTTATTTAAACATTGTGAACCATAAATAGTAAGAAAGTATTCTTATTGCCTACTTTTTATTTTTTAGGCTGGAAGATTATTTGATGTATGATAACAACAAGAGATCCCAAGCATCAATTTATTTTATAATTCTGGAAAAGAATGCATTTGACCCAATTTTTGAATATTTTTTTTTGTTTTTACTGTTAAATATTCATCCCAAACACAATTAGATTTTAATTCTCTACAGAAATTTATGTATAATATAGAATGTAAAGTGACATATAATTCACTTAGAATTTGGTCGGAAATCATAAAGTATTTAATAGGCATAGTCTAGAAACCAAATGTAGATCAAATATACCCAGAATTACAAAAAACCTTGACCTACATTAAGGTGACTTTCCCTTGCTTATGAAATGAAATAGGGTTTAATATCCTACTTTTCTGTGTTATTATGGTGATTCTGCCCTACAACCTACTCTTATATCAAATATTTCAACTGTCAAGGGTTGTTTAAAGGGAACCCAGGAGGGCCGAATGGTTAACAAACGCACATTGGATCAGAAGGGTCTGTCATTGAGTCAGATAATTCAATTGTCAAGGGTTCTTTAAAGTAAACGCAGTGGGGGTAGTTTCAATTCTGGGCTTATACCCAATTATCCCTTGCCATGTCCTACACTACTGACGTGTGGGAACTATGTCGGAAAATCCAGTTGAAATTTCTCGGCCAATGCACTCACTGAACCACAGTGGCTCCTCCTTGCTTTTGACTTGTGATTATTTATATATATTTTGTACATATTATTTAATGTTTGCGATTTTCTCTGATATTTTTTTATTTTTCAATCCTGTAATCTTGATGCTTTGCTCCTTTTATGTACAAAATATTCATTTTGTTTGTTTTGTTTTTTTTAATGAGGAAAAGGTTCTACATCATTTTATTACTCCTGCAAAATAGTGCATTTTCCTTTTGTTAGTTTTCTGTGTATGCTAGTTATTTCTAGATGCCTCACAAATCACTTGTAATATGACTTTGTAGCACTTTTCAGTTTCTGAAAGTATTTCAATTTAGTGCATAATTAATCTAATTAGGGCTTGGTTTGGATGTTATTAAATTTAGATATATTTGAATTATATATTTTTGGGGTTATGGGGTAGGGATCTTTCTTTTCTCAGTTCTTGTTTTCGGGTAAAGAAAAAATTAAATAGCTATTTTGTATTTTGTGATGTGGGGGGGGGGGGGGGGAGGGGGGCAAAGTATAACAGAAATTTTATTAGTATTAGAATTATATCTCTGTTTTTCTGTTAACATTTCAAATGATGTCTATTTAGTTTTGATTTGGTGGTGTTAATTTACTTTTTCCTATCATTTTATGAATAAATGATAATTTAACAAATAAAATTATTGTTACCTCATTTATCAAACTTTACAGGTTAAACAGAGCAAAAGGGGTGGGGGGCTGCATGGGAAAGATTGCTAAATTGAGGGAAAATAAAACACAAGTTTTTGTTGGTGGTTATACACAAGTTTTTATGAAACCACACAAGTTTCAGAAATTTCAACACAAGTTTCAGAAATTTCAACACAAGTTTCAGAAATTTTGATACAAGTTTCAGAAATTTCAACACAAGTTTCAGAAATTTCAACACAAGTTTCGACACAAGTATTGTGTAGATTTTCACACAAGTTTCAACAAAAGTTTGTGTTGTTTGGTAAATTTTAACACAAGTCTTGTGTTGTTTCAACATTTAACACAAGTTTGTGTTCTTTCAACACAAATTTGTGTTGTTAAATAGAGACACCTAACTTGTGTACAAACACGGTTTTTTGTTCAATCAAGGGCCATAGTCCAGGAAGTTACGTTCAGATATGCGCCAATATCGCAAGGAATCGAGATCTTTGGGTTATAAACATACATGTTCAGTATCTTCAAAATAGGATAAAAATTGCGACCTCTAGTGGGTACAATCAGGGGCCATAATCCATGAAGACACGATCCCATACAAGCCAATATCGAAAGGAACCGAGATCGTTGGGATATACAGTTATAACCCGTAGAGTGTCTACAAAGAAATTGTGAACGAACGGACGGACATAAGCGACGTCAATATACGTCCACGTGAAAATGTGAGCGTATAAAAAACGTATCATCGATCAAGTGCCGAACGTACTTATAAACAGACCAGTGACATACAACAGGCGGATTTAAGTTGAATTCTTTATGTAGGAAAGAAACCAAAATTCGCTGACAACAAAATAGACAATATGGAAACAGTAATTTCTTCACATCGACAAACAAGCGAAATCAACATTAGGTTATCTGAGATTTCGATAACTATGAAGTTTTAAAGTATTTTCATGCACTGGTCTAATATTGGTAAAACTGTCCATTATTTTCAATAAATAGTGGACAATTTTATAAATAATAGGCGATTGTTTAAGAAAAGTGTACAATCTCCTATATACCGGTTAAAAACACCAAAGGGTGACGTCATATCTATGTATTAACATCTATTTCTATGTAACTATTGTAACACCTCACTGCTTTCCACGAATAAAATGAATAGTCAGACCTTTTATGCCCCTTAAATCCGTCACACGTGTAAAAATAAAATGGATATATGAGTAACATCCTTGTTGAATAAGTATGCCAATAACAATATTTATAATATAAAAGAAGACGGTGTGTGAAATTGTATACGTATGTATAACATCAACGATAAATAGATTCATTATTTATACATTTAGATCATGGTGAGACATTTAAATTTTTTAATAACAAAAAGCCTTTTATGAAGGGTGTTTTACCAGTGTCCTCTTACCGAGATACATCTACAAATATCAGATAAATTTATACATAAATTGTCCCGTGATACATAGGCGTCCGGGGTCGATGAGTGGTAGAGGTTAGGAGTTGAGAGGGTGGATGGGTGGCAAAACCTGCCATGCCCGAAAAAAATGAGAGTCACAGACGGTGGTGTCCGGTGAAGGAGCGGACGGTAACAAACGCGTTTTCCTGCGATCCCAGCTCATGAATACATCAAGTACAAAATGGCCTAACTTAAGTAGCTGACTCGAATTCCTATCAACCAATCAATCTTATACTGTCCACGAAGATGGAGCCATTAGGAGAAAATTTTGAAAATTTAACTGCCGCAAACGCATTGTCCTGCTATTCCAGCCACTTCCATGTGGTCCAATATAGCCTACCTACGACGCGATAAAACTGACGGAGACTCGAAATCGGCGACTCGTTTACGATCAAGTGGAACTGATTAGTCGTGACTACTTGGGCGACCTGAGCGCTCTTGTGTTTGGTGTAAGTCGGACGGCAACCAGTCGCCGTCCAGTCGTCTCCAGTTTCTCTGAGAAACATGTTCTACTCTTACGACTGATGACAAGCAGTTGTCCCTAGTTGCAAGCGACATGAACGCACCTATGACTGGCGTGAGTCGGCGCTCCGCTGACGTAGCCAATAGGATTCGGTTATTTAGTCACGTGGTACCCAGGGGACAAGTGGAATGAGGTCATTTTGAAGGTTATTACGTGTCAGTCATGTGATCCGTTGTGGCTCCGATTCTTCAATTGATACCGGGCGACATGGGCGCGCTTACGACTATGATCAACTGATTGCTCGTGATTGCGTCCAGTCGTGGATAAATTCAATCATAGCGACTAGTTAAGTCAGAATGTCACGTTTGACATTTTTGTCCCAACCTGGCAAAAGCTTGTTAATATTTTGCAAGACTTGTAGATGGCATTCAAAACAGACAATTCCAAAAGAAAAGCAAGAGCACATCGCTTTAATCTAAATTTAATCTGTTTCTTGTGTCTTTTCAAGCAAAAACAGAGCAAATGTAACTGGATATCAGCCCACTGTAATTCATTGTCCGAATACTAAACCTGTCGTACTCTAGTTTACTTGACTATCTTATTTCATGGCCCCCGAAAATCTGGTGGAATGTGGTACCACAACGGGGATTGAGGGTCTCAGAAGAAATTTTTGAAAAAATTGAATTATTTTCTATGTCCAATATCTTGTGGAACTCTTGTGGTGAAAAACACCACAGAACAAAACTTTGTAGGATATACTTTCCCAAAATCTTAGAAGATGATAGGATAAACTACTAATGTTCAAACAAAATAAATAGAAAATGTATCATAAAATGTTCACGGTCCAAGTTTTCCAAACGCCCCCAAACCTTACCATGTCTATAGATAATTTTAGCCATAGTATAAAGACAAACCCCTACAAAATTTGGTAATGTTGACTTTTGCTTTTATTTTGAAAGTTATTCGTTTGTTATCATCATTTATTTGAAGCGCAATATATTCTACTAATTTCAGCAATGTTATAGTTTAGCATTTTATGATTTATATACAGTTCTATAAATTGGAATTTCAAGCTAATAAAATAGTAATAAAAGAATGTAATTATGCTGTTTCAATTTGTAAATAATTTTGATTCCAGAGAGCATGTCCTTCCTGTAAAATCAATCCAGAAACATCACACCATTAACATAAATTTGATATCACGGTTTTTTTTTTTTTGGTTTTTTTTTTAAAGCAATATTTTTATTCAGATTTGTATCTGAATAGGGATTGAGGAACAATCATAGCCTATATTAAACCCTTCTCCCGTTTGTCTGGAAATATATGATGCTAGTGCCAGTCAGTACTCATGTGACGTAGTTTGTGGAAATATATTTCTTGACAGAATATTTCCAGTTTTCTTTCAAAAACAGATAACTTTATGTCAACCCTGTAACAATTGTGTCTTTACTGTAACATAATAGTCCTTTCTGTAAGACTGTGAATAAACAGTCAGTAAAAATGATAGCAAGCCTAAATCTTCAGTCGTCCTACTTATCTTCAAGGATTCATTGATGTATCTCAACAGAACATGACGAAATAATTGTCTGAGTACACATACATACTTAAATTAGAAACAATCCATAATAATTCATCTAAGTATAAACTAGGTACACAAAAAAAGTAGCCAAACTGAGGAAAACATGTTTTAGTATGCTTGAATGACCAATCATTAGAAATAATATGCTTTAAAAATGATCTTATGAAATATTCACAAATTTTCAACAAAATTATTAATCGTTGAGGGAAATTTCATATTTCCAACTGGTGACCGATAAAAGCTGGCAAAAAAATATTAATTCTGTAAAATTGTTCTAAATTCAGAACTGACACTTTGAACTATGGTTTATCAAATAATAATAAAAAATAAACAATTAATCAAATCTGAAATTTGCTCATTTGGGATTTGCAATTAAATAAACAATAGACTAGTGTTTATTTAATCTAACATATGCTAGGAGAAGAACCACCAACCGCCATGTTTATTATACACAATAGAATTCCAGTGAAGGAAACCATCATATTAATTAACTATATTTATGATATCCCGATAAATAATCTAATTTGTAGATCTGCAGTTATTCACGTGAAGGTCGAGACATTATATGTGTGGCTCTATTTGATGATGGCAAGTACCGGTTATAATTATTTTGAAGAAAACGTGGCATTTTTTTACCCAACCTCGTTTCGGACAAAATACCTCGTTTCAAAAACATGGCAATCTAAAAAGCTACGTTTCTGCACTCCAGACAAACGTGGCATTTTTTTTACCACTTTTTTTACCACGTTACAACGTGGCAAAATTGTAGGTAAAATATTAACACACTTTTGCCACGTTTTGCCAAAAATGGCATTCAATTAAAAAATTTGCGGCACTTTATTTTGCCAAATAGATGAAATAATAATTTTCGCTTTCACTTTACCCGTTGCCCGAAAAGTTAGATTGCCCGAAAGCTAGGGGGCAGCTGACCCCCTCCCCATCCCACCAACTGGCTTGTACGCCTATGAATATACTTTTTTCATTCTTGACCAAAAAACCGACAAAATCAAAGGGAATTTACCTCCCCGGCCCCCCACTCCCAATGAGAGTAACAAAAACATAAACAAATCGAAACACCAGTCGATGGGCACATATTACCTTTCCCCTTGCAGGCCTACTGGGCTATCGGGGGTGTCGGAGGGAGAGGGGGCTCCCGAACAGTCTTAATCACAACCCGCCACCAAAGAAAGTGTAGCCTACCTTACCCAGTCGAACAATGTTCCTCGGAAATTTCCCGTCTTTATAACCCCTTTATCATAATAAAAACTCACCTATTTACTTGAACAATCTTGTAGTTGCCTGATTCTATTCCAAAATGTCAACAAAAGTTTCCATGTAAATCTGTGAATATTATATCATATTGGTCACTTGTATATTACTGTATAAATGTCGGGTTGTATCTAATATAATATTATAATAGTCAGTTTCAATAAATGAATACCTGCTTGTCTCGATAACATAACATAAGTATAGTGGCCTATATACAAGTCTATAACGTATATATATTTATATAGACGATAAAATAGTCACGGTCTGTTTGGCAGTAAATAAGCCCCACCTAACTATTACACCTGTAGATTACAGTTGAAATTCCTGTTGTTAAATCTAGTATCCGATAGACGATGACAACTATTAGGGTCCCCTCTCGCTCTCCCTCTGTACAGTGTGGGGGGGGGGGGCATGACATCCACTCCCTTCTGCTCGAACAACTATACTCAAAATTTTTACCTACTTTCAGATCGTCCATTCTGTTCCACTATGCATTGATTGTAATACTTAAACATGTATCCCCACCCCCTAAATATGTCACTGACTGAATGAATCTAATCTTTGGTTGCAGAAGTAACATCATCAAAGCAATATGTCTAATAGCTATGTTTTACCATCCCTGGCTAACATATGTACATATAAACTAAAATATGTGCAATAAATATGAATTATGGTTAAAAATAGGCCTTGATGAAAGCAAAAAAATGTCATATTTGGTCTATGACCACCCCTCTCTGACAAAAGGGTCACAGAATACAATTTTCACAAATTTGGGAAAATTTCAATGTTTTCAACATCTCAAGGCTCAGAGGCACCATACAAATCTTTATTGCAATTCTTGTGCTGAAGCAAGATGTCTGGACCTTTACATCAATTGCCTGAAAAAATGATGTCCAAAAAGGAATTATGACAGAGTTGACAAGATGAAGGAGGCCTGAAAAGGAGCAATATTAACATTTAACTGTTCTATAAGTAACATAAATGCAACAATCACCACAAATTCTAGACTTTGATAAGAAAATATTGAACATTAAACTGACATTTACACATCTACACCAGTTTTATATTAGGGTGTGGTCTCATTGGCCTGACATGTCTCTGGGTTCTAAGTTTGACTTTAAACAAAAAGGCTTAGAAATCTTTGAAATGTACAAAATAGCTATTTATTAGTGAAAAACAACATTCCTAGCTGTAATTCAACCACAAATTCCAATTACTATCATTTAATTGTCAACACAGGTGCAATTAAATCTCTCAAAACACATTAATAAAAAAGGGTGGGGTGGGGCATTTATAGCCTCTCCTAAGGAAGTGGTGGAGTTAAAAATGGCTAGAAAGACTGGAATATTGCTTTCTACGTGAAGGAAATGCAAGAATTTAATGTTACAAAGAAGAAAAAAATGCTTGTTCTGGGTAAAACAGTAGCAAAATTGAGCCAACCCCTGTTTTGAACATGTTGTACAAACCCACCTGCTGTACATTATTAACTCAGTTTTACCAATTTTCAATTTTCTGCAAGAAAGCTGGGGCTATTTCTAAACCTGATAAACTTGTAGATCCCATCTAAGTTATATTAGCAATGAAACTCAGATGCATTTTAGACATTTTGACTCATTTGAGTAGTCATGAAAGGATTGATTTCTACATTGAAATGGGGGGAATCCAAAGATTTTCTGTGAATATTCCTGATTTTTAGACAAAATTTGGTGAAATTACAATACTGTTCACTGTATCTGTGCTTTCTGAGGTTGAATAAGCCAAAATTGGACATTAAAATATTTTTCTTACTAATAGAAATTAAATAAAAACTGAAAATTGAGAAATTTGCAGTAAAATCACAATTTTTCTCCAAATTTTGATTTTTTTTTTTTTTAAATTTAACTTTTTTTAGTTTTTCAGTAGTCAAAATATTTTATTCATATTTTCTGAGAGTTTAATCTTCATATTTTCAAAACTAAGGCATATCAGTCTCAGCCTGTCACACATAGACAGGCCACAGATCACTAAATATTTGCCCATTGACTTTAATGTTAATTCTCATCTCTTAGACCGGCTCTAACCTTTTTCCCAAATTTTCATTGGGTAGAACGCTTTCTACCATAGATGGAGCAACATGTGGCAACTTCTTGCCCAAAAGCACGTATGAGGTTCACCATGGAAAACTTGAGATACACAAGCTGGAAGTAGAGACAAGAAAACATGCAATTTTGGACCCTACATTTCAACAATAGGTGACTTGTACCAAAAACAAGATAGAAGTCAAATTATTATTATTTTATTTGCCTGAAGGGAAATAAAAACTTGATACTGACATGTTGGTGTTTTTACTCAATATTTAGACATGATTAGGGACTAGCTAATTCAAACATGATAGGGGCTAGCTAATTCAAACATGATAGGGACTAGCTAATTCAAACATGATAGGGACTAGCTAATTCAAACATGATAGGGGCTAGCTAATTCAAACATGATAGGGGCTAGCTAATTCAAACATGATATGGACTAGCTAATTCAAACATGATAGGGGCTAGCTAATTCAAACATGATAGGGACTAGCTAATTCAAACATGATAGGGACTAGCTAATTCAAACATGATAGGGGCTAGCTAATTTAAACATGATAGGGGCTAGCTAATTCAAACATGATAGGGACTAGCTAATTCAAACATGATAGGGGCTAGCTAATTCAAACATGATAGGGGCTAGCTAATTCAAACATGATAGGGGCTAGCTAATTCAAACATGATAGGGGCTAGCTAATTCAAACATGATAGGGGCTAGCTAATTCAAACATGATAGGGACTACTGTGTATATTTATTATAATTGTCTGTTCTAATTGACATGGATTTATTTTTTCAGGAACGAACCAGGAATGCTCAGTTTATAATTATATCACTACGTAGTAATATGTTTGAACTAGCAGACAGACTTGTTGGTATTTATAAAACCCACAACTGTACCAAATCTGTCACCATTAATCCCAATAAACTATCCCTCGGCAGTCTCGATACCAATGCAAACATAGAACCGGCTGTCAAAGAAACAGAGAAAACAGAGAAAAATGATGAAGAAATTTTTACAGAAATAATCCAAGCTGTGTCATAAATACAAAAACTTTCAGTCATCTGAAGTTTAAGATGTGCCATAAATACAAAAACTTTCAGTCATCCGAAGTTTAAGATGTGTCATAAATACAAAAAAAACTTTCAGTCATCTTGTGTAAAAAAACAATGGGAGGGTGCTTGGTACAGAGAATGTATGTTTAAGTAGGGAGGGGGGGGGGGGGGGTGTGGGGGGGTGTAATTCTGTGATTGTGTATTAAGACAAAGGTTACAGAGATGTAGAGATTGTTTTAAAATGTTCTATTGGTAGTTATAGATAATTATACAGTAGAAATTATTTTGGTGCAGGGGGGTGGGGTGGTTATCCATTATATTGATGTCAATAAAATTTATCAGGGATTTGATAATTGAACCTTCGGTACATTTCCGTTTTTTATTCAAATTTCTTTATATAATAACACGTGGCAGGTCTAGTTAATTGTTGTAAAACGTGGACAAGATTTATAGGCGGTAGACTGTTCTTTATAATAAGTGGACAAGATTTATAGGCGTTGGACCGTTGTTATAACATGTGGACAAGATTTATAGGCGGTAGACCGTTCTTCTAACACGTGGACAAGATTTATATGTGGTAGACCGTTCTTATAGTTTGAAATAAAAAAAGGTCAAACAGCTCTTTATAAGTGATGTAGGAGTTTTTGAGAAGAAAAATAATTTGTTAAGTTGGCCTTACCTGTCGGTGTAGAGATATCAACATATTTCTGTAACATTTTATAACTAAGGTATATTTTGTTACACCTTTGTTTAATTGGCCTTACCTGTAGGTGTAGAGATTATATTTCTGTAAGATTTTATAGATTATATTTCTGTAAGATTTTATAACTAATAATATTTGTCTAATTGAGATTAAAATTGATGGCAGAAATTATAGTCATAAAATATATAAAAATATCAAATTGATTGTTTGTATTTTACTGTAAATGTGAAACAAGAACTGAATTTAGCATCAAGTTAAAAATCAAAAGTTGAACTACATGTCACCTGTCATATACTTTCATGGGGGCTTGTCCAGTCATCTGTCATATACTTTCATGGGGGAGTGTCCAGTCATCTGTCAAATACTTTCATGGGGGCTTTTCCAGTCATCTGTCATATACTTTCATGGGGGCGTGTCCAGTCATCTGTCATATAGTTTCATGGGGGCGTGTCCAGTCATCTGTCATATACTTTCATGGGGGCGTGTCCAGTCATCTGTTATATACTTTCAAGGGGGCGTGTCCAGTAATCTGTCATATATGTCCACGGAGGCTTGTCCAATAATACTTCCACTGTCAACGGGCGCGTCCAGTATATCACATACTTTCAGGGGGCGTGTCTAGCAATCAGTCGCAACATTTCAGGTTGGGGGGGGGGGGGCGTGTCCAGTAATCTATCGGATCAGCTCACTATATCATATACTTTCAGGCGGAGTGTCGGATAAGCTCACGATATCATATACTTTCAGGGGGCGTGTCCAGTAATCTGTGGGAAAATTTTACTATATCGACTACTTTCAGGGGACGTGTCCAGGAATTTGAGCAGCCAGGGGTATCCATGATTAAGTTAACGTCACGTTTAGCATAAGGTCTCTGGGATTAGCCGCCAATGTTAAGAAATGCGAAACTCTGGGAATACATGGATATGATTACAGTGAAGGGAGGCCAAAATGGCAGCAATATTTTACATGATTTTACAATATAGGAGAGATAATGATCTACGTGAGCTAGGAAGATTCTGCATCGCCCTGTTAAACATGCGCCTGACTTGGTGGTGTCAGTGGTCAGAATACTGTCCTTCCTGTTTTTATAAATACAAGATGTTGAATATCTTTAGTAATTTAGAAATTGTTCTTCCACAATGATGTGTTATAGTTTATTGTTCTATTTACTAGACACATATAGACGGCCATCTTGTTTTATCACATGACCTGACACATATAGACGGCCATCTTGTTTTATCACATGACTTGACACATATAGACGGCCATCTTGTTTTATCACATGACTTGACACATATAGACGGCCATATTATTTTACAGACAGACCTCTATGTTATTTGTGTATTATAAATTCTATTATCTTAAACGAGCTAAATCTCTATTCCTTGTCATCTAGAAATTGATACAAATGGACCACAACACATATAACAATGTAATTTGAATGTATATAAACTGATTTACATTCAATCGTTTCTGTTTTACTGTAAATTCTTATCAGCTATGGTTGGCGAAACACGCGTAGAGTACAAATTGTCTGGTTATTCCAGTCTACACCGGTAGTATTCC